AGGGTATGAAGCTTGCTGTGGGGAGAAAAAAGGCCTTTCCTGGTCCTAAAATCATCATCATCATCATCAACATCATCAACAACAACATAATCTTTTATAGCTTCTGTAGTCTATTTTAGTTCCAACTTCAGGGGGAGAAGCTGAATATCTATTATTATTATTATTATTATTATTATTATTATTATTATTATTATTTCCTGCTTTTTTTTCCAATGTTGGAACTAATATATCATCATCATCATCATCATCATCATCATCATCATCATCATTTATATCCCACTTTTTTTCCAAGTTGAAACTCAAGAGCGGCTTACAATTTAAAAAAAATATACAATTGAAAACATATAAACGTGAACATTAAAATAGCATTAAACGGATACGGTATTACAAAGCATGATTCGCTAAAAGGAATTCGCTGCAACCTGTGACTGTACTTCCCCTTCCCCAAACTTAGCTCATAAAAAGAGAAGCCTGTGATGCTTTCCTGTTGGCACAGATCTGCTGATAGCACCCCCAAATGTGTCATGTGTCCCCTGATCTCTACACCTTTAGAGATCAAGATGGGGATGTACGAAAAACTGGAAGAGTGACACACACACACACACACATATATATATAACATGATATATAGTTCATACCCTCCACCATTTCACAGATGAAAACTGGGACACATGTGGCCAACAATGCCAGACAGTGGTCAAGACAGCAAAAGTTATGAATGATTTATTATTATTATTATTATTATTAGTAGTAGTAGTAGTAGTAGTAGTATCCCAGTTTTCTCCCAGAATCGGGACGAACTGTGATGAAGAACACACAAGCTAGGAGAGGCTGCAGCAGTTTGCTTTTTCCTGAGTCTACTGGGAAGGGCAAGATTCGTTTCCTCCTTGCTGAGTTAATTAAGTGCAAACGGCTTTTGCACTTGGAACTAGTTTGCAGAAATGGAGATAGAATCATAGAATGATAGATTTGGAAGAGACACCAAGGGCCATCCAGTCCAACCCCATTCTGCCATGCAGGAATTCACAATCAAAGCATCCCCGACAGATGGCCATCCAGCCTCTGTTTAAAAACCTCCAAAGAAGGAGACGCCACCAAAATCGCCATTGAGGGAGTGTGTTCCACTGTCGAACAGCTCTCACTGTCAGGAAGTTCCTGTTAATGTTGAGTGGAATCTCTTTTCCTGGAGCTTGCATCCGTTGTTCTGAGTCCTATTCTCTGGAGCAGCAGAAAACAAGCTTGCTCCATCCTCAATATGACATCCCTTCAAATATTTAAATAGGGCCATCATATCACCGTCTCTTCTCTAGGCTAAACATACCCAGTTCCCTAAGTCGTTCCTCATAGGGATTCATAGTTTCCAGACTCTTCACCATTTTAGTCGCCTTCCTTTGGACACACTAAAGCTTCTCAACATCCTTTTTGAATTGTGGTGCCCAGAACTGGACACAGTATTCCAGGTGAGGCCTGACCAAAGCAGAATGGAGTGGCACTATTACTTCCCTTGATCTAGACGCTATACTTCTATTGATGTAGCCTAGAATCGCATTGGCCTTTTTAACTGCCGCACCACACCGTTGACTCATGTCAAGGTAGGCTGAGAACAAAGTGGGAAAGTGGGAGGAGGAGAGAGAAACTGGGACATTTTGAAAGCAGCAAGAAAAAGTGGGACAACAGAGGATTAATCAGGACTGTCTCTGCCAAACTGGGACAGTTGGAGGGTATGATATGAATTCCTGGCATTTTTGCTGTTCTTGCTGTGGAGGAGGAGGACCTGGTTTACCAGTTTGTTTGTTCACTTCTTTAATTAGTCAGTTACATCTGTGTGCCAATGAACACGAGGCAGCATACATTGCCCTGCCAACAACCCTGTCAGGTAGATGGGTCAGAGTGAGCTTGGGTCATTGACCCAAGGTAGTCCAGTGTATTACATGCTCAATGGGTATTTGAACTTGGATCTCCCACCATCAAGGATCATCCTCACAGCTACATTTATATCCTGTGAAAAATGACTTGGAGACACACGACAATAACGACGACAACAACAACAAATATTAATGTGAAGTCAAAGGCTTTCATGGCCAGCATCCATAGGTTTTTGTGGGTTTTTCAGGCTGTGAGGCTGTGTTCTAGAAGAATGTATTCCTGACGTTTCACCTGCGACTGGCATCTTCAGAAAATGCTGGCATGGAGGTGACCCTATGGACCCTATGGATGAGATATCTCCAAAACTCTCTATCTCCCCCCTGACAAGGTTCCCCATGACATTCTGGCAAACAAGCTAGTAAAATGTGAGCTAGACAATACAACTGTTAGATGGATTAGTAACTGGTTGACTGACCGAACCCAAAGGGAGCTCAGCAATGGCTCCTCTTCTTCATCCTGGAAAGAAGTGATCAGTGGGCTTCTGTCCTGGGCCCAGGGCTATTCAACATCTTTATCAATGATTTGGATGGAAGAATAGAATACTTATCAAATTTGGAGATGACACTTAATTAGGAGGATTACGCCAGAGGGCAGGATGAAAATTCAAAATGACCTTAATGGATCAGAAAGCTGGGCCAAAGCTAACAAAATGAAGTTCACCATGGAGAAATGTAAGGTACTGCACTTAGGGCAAAAAAAATGAAATGCATAGATATAAGATGGGGGACACCTGGCTTAACAACAGTACATGTGAAAGGGATCTCGGAGTCCTAGTAGACCACAAGTTGAACATGAGTCAACAGTGTGATGCCACAGCTAAAAAGGCCAATGCAATTTTAGGCTGCATTAATAGAAGTATAGTATCTAGTTCAAGGGAAATAATAGTGCCACTGTATTTTGCTTTTGTCAGGCCCCACCTGGAATAATCCTGTGTCCAGTTCTGGGCTCCACAATTTGAAAAGGAGGTTGAAAAACTGGAGCGTATCCAAAGGAGGGCGACTAAAATGATGAAGGGTCTGGAAACCATGAAACCCTATGAGGAGAGACTTAGGGAATTGGGTATGTTTATCCTGGAGAAGAGATGGCTAAGAGGCGATATGATAGCCCTGTTTAAATATTTGAAGGGATATTATATTGAGGAGGGAGCTAGCTTGTTTTCTGCTGCTTCAAATAAAATGACATGAAGCAATGGATGCAAGCTACAAGAAAAGAGATTCCACCTCAACATTAGGAGGAACTTCCTGGCAATGAGAGCTGTTCGACAGTGGAACACACTCCCTTGGAGATTTGGGTGGAGTCTCCTTCTTTGGAGGTCTTTAAACAGAGGCGGGATGGCCATCTGTCAGGGATGCTTTGATTGGGAGTTCCTGCATGGCAGGGGGTTGAACTGGATGCCCCTTGTGGTCTCTTCCAACTCTATGATTCTGTGCTTCCATTGCTATGTTTAGGTCCTGCAAATTCATGGCCATGAGCTCCTTCATAGAGTCCATTCATCTAGCATGCAACCTTTCTCTATTTATGCTTCCCTAGCATTATTGGCTTTCGGAGTGAGTCATGCCTTCTCAGATCTGGTTTGATCTGTCCTCGTACCCATCGGTTTGTCTTTTTGGCCCTCCATGGTATTCTCAGGACTCTTCTCCAGCACCACATTCTCTCAAACGACTTGATTTTTTCTCCCTTATCCACGTTTTTCACTGTCCAGCTCTGACCTTCATACATGGGGATGGGGAATACTGTGGGCTGGACAAATCCAACTTGGTGATACATCATAACAATCACTTTGTCCTATACTAAAGCCCCAACTATAATTGTGTGTCAGCCAGCATGGCATAATGGTTTGAGTGTTGACTACAACTCTGGAGACCAGAGATCAATTCCCAGCTTGGCCATGAAACCCACTGGGCCACCTTGGGCAAGTCACACTCTCTCAGCCTCATGGGATGGTAATGGCAAGCCTCCTCTAAACAAATCTTGCCAGGAAAACCCCATGATA